AAATCCGAAGACACAGAGAATCCTAAAAACTACAGACCTATTACTTGCCTGCCAACTATGTACAAGGTCCTGACCTCCATCATTACAGAAAGGACCTAAATTTTTCTCGAAAGCAACAACCTGCTCCCCAAAGAGCAAAAAGGATGCCGCCGCAGAAGCTATGGTTGCAAAAACCAGCTCCTCATCAACAAAGCCATCCTTGAGGAGATGAGATTTAAGCGCCGCAACCTCTCCACGACCTGGATCGACTACAAGAAGGCCTTTGACAGTGTGCCCCACACCTGGATCATCAAGGGCCTCGAACTCTACAAGATCTACCCCACTATCACCCTATCACTCTCTGTCACCCCTAGTCTTCTGTCTTGCTCTTGCTCCTCTAAGCTCCCTCCTGAACAAGAGTGGCTATGGCTACAACACCCCCCATGGGAGGATCAGCCACATCTTCTACATGGATGACTTGAAGACCTATGCGAAAAATGACGACAAGCAAACGGGCCTGCTGAGAACCATCAAATCTTTCAGTGACGACATAGACAAGGAGTTCGGATTTGACAAGTGCGCCAAGGCCACCTTCAAGAGAGGGCGACTTGCCGACTTCAGTAACATCGAACTCGATGTCAACACCGTCATCCAGGACCTAGAACAGGAAGGTACCTATAAGTACCTCGGAGTGAGCGAGGGAGACGGAATCCAGCGCTCTCAGATGAAAGAGAAGATCCGGAAAGAATACTATCGCAGGATCCGGATGGTACTAAAGTCTGAGCTGAACTCTGCAAACAAACTGGAAGCCATTAACACCTTGGCAGTACCCGTGGTAACCTACAGTTTTAACATCATAAACTGGACGCTACAAGAGCTGGCCAAACTTGATACAAAGACTAGGAAGTTCCTGACAATGTATAAAATGCACCACCCTCAATCTGACGTGGACAGGCTGTACCTGCCCAGAATCGAAGGAGGTAGAGGGCTTATAAAACTGGAGCTTTCCTACAAGACGACCACTATCGGTCTTGATAAATACCTCCAGGAGATGCAGGACACCCTTCTCCACTTTGTGAAAGACCATGACGACAAGAGATCCTTGTACTCCACCAGCAGACAGTCAACGAAGTTTAGTCGGGAACTGGAAGTGCCTGCAACACCACCTGCAGAGGATGAGGCGAGCACCACCTATGCCCGCAAAAGAAAGGCCAAGGCAAAACACCAGGGTCGCCAACAGCTCAGGTCCAAGTGGGAATCAAAAGCGCTCCACGGCAAATACCCACAGCGGGTGAAACAGGCTGATGTGGACCAAGACAAGACCCACAGATGGCTAAAAGCAGCCGGCCTCAAGGCAGAAACTGAGGGCTTTATCATCGCAGCCCAAGATCAAAGCCTCTCAACACGCTGGTACCAACATAACATTCTCAAGAAGCCTGACGTGGACCCAAAATGCAGACTGTGTGGCCGTTTTGATGAAACCATTGACCACCTGGTCTCTGGCTGCCCTGAACTGGCTAAAACTGAATACATTCGCCGCCACAACAAGGCAGCTGCACACATGCACTGGAAGATCTGCAAAGAGTTCGGTATTGAGGTGAAGGATCGATGGTATGAACATGAACCCACGACTGTCACCGAGAAAAACAATATCACCATTTTGTGGGACATGCCCATCCACACTGACAGAACCATCACAGCTAATAGGCCGGACATTGTGCTAAAGAACAAGAAGGACAAAACTTGCCTTCTCATTGACATGACCGCACCCCTCGACGCCAACACCTCAGTCAAAACCACGGAAAAGTTTAACAAATACAAAGATTTGGAAATCGAGATAGAGAGAATGTGGGGGCTCAAAACAACAACAGTCCTGGTGGTTATAGGAGCCCTCGGTATTATCAAGAAGGGCATGGAAAGCTACATCAACAAAATCCCTGGCAACATCAACATACATGAACTCCAGCAAATAACTCTACTTTCTACTGCCCACCTTCTCAGGCGGGCCCTCTCCATCAGGTAGAAACCCTCTTTGCCTCCCAAAGTAAATCAAAAGTGGAGTCTTGAGAAAGATGTGTTACATATGTATCATTGCTTCATTGATGTAAACCCGCATAAACTAACTAACATTGAAAACAGAGAATACTTAACACCCTCACCCATAATTTTAGCTTTGTAATTGTATGAGCATGATATGTTTACTGACTTAAACATATGTTTGACCTTTCTCTGGTATTTATTGCAGATAAGCTGTATCCCCAATTTGTTACAAAAATTTTGAGTAAAACTATACGGTTTATCTGCCAGAGTTTATGGTAATTGTTTCATTAAAAGCGTCCCCAAAATGTAGAAAAATAAAATAAAAATGAAAATACACCAAAATATTTGTAGAGCATGGTATAATGGCTCATAACCCATGATGGCTAAGCCAATGAAAACTCTTGAATTGCATTTAATTTATTCAATGATCCAGTTTTTTGAATGTAAATTATTCAGACAAGATATTTGTATCAGTATGTCTAGAGTGTGAAATTACAGTAACACTACAGCTTTTATCTCATTCAAATCAGTCTTGTGTTTGTTCACACAGAAAATGTAGTACACAATTAATTTACTGTGCACAACAATTCCTGTTCTAAAAATGCAAGAGAATGCAGAAGATACATTGTACAGAAATGCCAGCATTGATTTATTGAATTTCAGATACAGGATTCAAGTTAATTAAGAGTTTGTGACAATCTCTGTGTTATATCCTATAAAATTATTGCTCTCAGACTGTGCATAAATTTGTACTAACTGTAAGGAAAAAAAATTAATTCTACGGGATATATGTACAGGATCTAGAAAAGCTCCTTAAAACATTCAAACTTTTTGTGTAATATGGACATATAGGAGCTTTTATGCCACCTCTCTGTTTGCTTGC